GTGTGTGTGTGTGTGTGTGTGTGTGTGTGTGTGTGTGTGAAATATTTTTGCAAATATTTGTCCTATTATAGTGTGTATATGTGTGTATTTATATAAATTGTATACTTATAATATAGACTGTAAAAAGATAAGCATGAAAATAAATACATTTATACATTATTCATATATATATATATATATATATATACTCACACAATCATATATACACTTAATCTGTATAATCTAATTTAAAAATGTATGTATATATATATATATATATATCAAATACAACATAGATACATCAGAACTGTAGTGCACTACAGCCAAGTGTGCATTTAGATTTCTAAGGTAATAAATATTTTTAAAAGCTTATGAACGAGATGAAAGGATTTGAAGTCAGATCGATGGTGTATTTAAAGTTAAGCTGCGTTCCGAGTCATGCAGAGTATGTGTGTGTTTGTTTGCGTGCATTTAGAAGATCTTGCTCTGATGGAGAAGCAATCTAGGGTTTAAAGATGGTAACCGAACCATGGCAAATGGAGTAGTGTTCAGCTAGCCTCCTTTAACTCAGTGTGAAGGTTGTCCTAGATTCCAGCGCTGTGTGTGTGTACATGTGAGAGGGAGAGGGGTGTGTTTCAGCAGGCAGACTTCAGACTCTCCAACGTTTCCCTGCCGAGGTCTAAATCCAAAAGACAGATACCAAACCTTGTGACTCTACAAAACAATATACATGATGTTATACATGATAAGATGCATTGGTATGTTATGTACAAGAGGATATTTTCTTGTGCATCCAAAACCCAACAGAAATTTTACCTTGACAAACCCATTTTTGATATTAGGCAACAAACTGATGAGACTAATGAAAATACTAAGCTAAAGGAATTCCCTTGTGTGTTTGCAGTCGAGCGAGCTGGATGATATTCTGGATGATCTACAGAACAGTCAGCCAGGCCTGTTTGCGGATTCCCGGCCTGTGTCTTTGCCTGCTGCCGTGGACAAGCAGTCAATTATCAATGACATCCTGCAGATGACTGGAGAGGGTGGAGCCAGCATGGGTCCCCAGCAACAGAGAGCACTACAGGCTGTGGGCCAACAGAGTGAGTAACACACTCACATTCTCCTACAGTTTTCATCCAATGGCTGGAATAATGTAAGACTTCTGAAATCTGAAAAGATTTTAAAACATTTGGCATTATAAACTTGCCAAATTGGTATGAAAACTAAAAACTAAATGACTGAGGGTACGTTCACACTTCAGTGATGTACTAAAAACTGATTTTTGCATTTTTTAAAAGTTTTGTGTACAGACAACATGATTCCAGTTTACATGGATCTGTGAAAATGACTAAAAATGCTGTATTATGCATGCCAGGCCAGTAGTTGGCGATGTCACTTTGTAAAGCAACACTGTGCACAATAGACTGAACACATAATACGCATGTGCATGACTTCGCTGTTTTCACACATTCTCATTTTTGTAGCTTACACAGAGACGATAATGTTTTCATTTTCACCGGTATCGTTTTACAAAAACTTGCACTTTAAAACCCGTATTCAAAAGTTTGCATTTTTATGCCCCCAAAACACTGTTGTTGTGTAAATGACTGTCTAAAATGCATACAAGGTTTTGAAAATGGTGTCATGTAAATTCCCTGTGAGGATCACACACTACCAGACTTTCTAGCTGTTTTAAATGCAACAAACTCATGCAGAGACATGTGCCTCATTTCTAGATGTATGGCAAACCACAACAATGTGTGTTCTAAAATTGCCTCAAAATATCAAGCATGTTTGATATCCTACAGCTGAATGGAATCAGAGTCTAATGCTAAAAAAATCCATCGTACACTGCTCAATTTTCTGTGAAATCGGTCAACTCAAATCTGCAGAGCGACTCTGGACAACTTGTGTCAATTTGTCCAGACTGTAAATCGGGATTGGGAGTTCTGTGTGAGAGCAATAAAGTCACTCATGTTTAAGTTATGCAAATTTGCGGTGCTGACCATCAGAAAGCTGCTTAGTTTTGGCGCTTTTCCACTGCATGGTACGGCACGGTACAGCTCGGTACGGTTCACTTTTGGGGGTTTTCCACTGGGTACAGTACCTGGTACTTTTTTTAGTACCACCTCGGTTGGGGTTCAAAGTGAACCGTACCGTTACCAAAACGTGACGTGTAAACTCTGCTGATCACGGATTAAACCCGTGCCGAGCCGAACCGTGCCGTGCCGTACCGAGCCGAGTCGTACCACGCAGTGGAAAAGCGCCATTTGAAAGTGACTTCTGTGTGAGCTGTGCTTCATCTCAACACTATTGATAATAGATAGTGGACCTTTTTTCACATTACATTTTGCTAATGTAACTGCACCTTTAAAAGACAACAAGTGAGCAAATGCATAAATATTGCAGGTTCTTCCCAAGCATGCTTGCTTGTGTACAAATAGTCATATAATTGCCTTATTGCTCATATTTATGCACGCACACCCTCTTGAACGCTCATGTAAGATTAGACCAATGTAACACATGGTTTGAGCTTTGCCTTATATTGTGTAATCGACTTCCTTTAGGACAACTATCCAGATTGCACCCAATAGTCATGAATGTGTGTTTGTGTGTTTACAAGGAGTTTCGCTGAGTAGTCTTGGATTTTATTTGCATTTGTTTACAAGGTGACAGCAGGAGGAAAATTCCTGTGTCCACACACAGCGTCCCAATGTATTTGCAAAAATATTTAGAATTACACAAGAGTGAAAATGAAGTGAACCCAGAGTGCTTTATGTTTACATGTCATAATTTTTGTGAAACACCCTGAAACTATTCAAGTGTGCCCAGAGGCTGACCGAAACTGTGAGCAGGCTGAACATGAGTTTCTCATGACACGTTTGTTTCTCACCTGCATCATTTCAGCTGCGTGGATATTCTCTCTCACGCACGGTCATCAGAGACTTGCCAAAAATGGCAAAGGCCACTAATGCTGTACAGTTTGTGTGTTTAGCCATTTACATGGGCTAAACACTGACTAGTCGACTACTTTTAGTACAATAAGTGACCCTACACACAAACCATGTTATGATACTTATAAAAAAAACTTCACTCATTTTTCAACAGTAATTTTTATACACCACTGTTCAAAACTTTAGTGTCAGTAAGATTTTTTTTGAAAGAAATCAATACTTTTTTCAGCAAGGGCATATTTGATGAAAAGTGACAGCAAATGCATTTATAATGTTACAGAACATTTCTGTTTCAAATAAATGCTGTTCTTTTGAACTTTATCAAAGAATCCTGAATTTTTTTTTTATCAGTTTACACAAGAATGTTAATCAACACAACTGTTTTCAACATTGACAATAATAAAAAAAATCTATCTTGAACAGCAAATCAGCATATTAGAATGATTTGTGAATGATCATGTGATACTAAGGACCGAAGAGTAATGGCTGCTGGAAATTCAGCTTTGCCATCACAGGAATAAATTGCGTTTGAAAATATGTTATAATAGAAAACTGTTGTATTGTACTTTGAATTGTAATTATTTCACAATATCACTGTTTTTTTTTTTACTGTACTTTGATCATATAAATGCTGCTTTGGTGAGCATACAAGACTAAAAGTCTTTTTTATTTTTCTATAAACTGTGAATACCATACTTTTTCTTTTTTTCAGTGTTGTCATTTATTTGCTATGTGTGTTGATAGATTTTGGTGCTCCACGACCAGGTCAGCCCGGCAGGGCTCCTCCAGTCAGAAGCGTGTCTTTGGATATGAACATGCCTGCTAAAGGTGCTCAGGGTCAGTACCCTCTGATGAGGAACAACAGCCCCTATTCGCTCATGCAGCAGCAAGGCATGATGGGAAACCACAGTGTCATGCCTAATGCAGGTGAGTTGAGCTGGGGTCCGAAATGCAATGCTTCTTAGTCACTGATGCAATAATATAAAATAAAATAGAAGTAAAGTTTGTCTGTACATATGCGGTGGAACACAGGGTTTCCCCCACACTTAACACCTACTATGAGAGGAAAGTTCCAATGCCGCACCGACCATGTACAAACCAAAGTTTCAGTGTGATCAGTAATGCACAGTCAAGCATGACGCTGTTGGCCGAGAGGAAGACAAATGTGTAAAACGGCACAAAAGTGTTGAGTCAGATCAAAAGCAAGCCCCTCTGTGCACCTTTTGTTTGTGTGTGGTGGGTTACACTCGCTTGCAAGTGAATGTGCACATAAGGTGAGACTGTGAGCGGCTAGATATAAATGACTCATAACCTTAGGAAAGAATTGCAGGGTTTCTGGTGTGATCGTGTCTGCATTTTTTTCAGGTGGTTGGATTTTTAAATATCACATTCCTGAGGATGAAATGACACCATAGTTTTATATATACCACTATTTTTTTCTATATCTAATTTATTTTGTCAGTTGACCCTTAGCTTAGGTTTTTACTTTACTGTTGGGAAGTCAGATAAGCTTTACAAAACATGCAATCATGTTTGTTTGGAAACTTGTGAAGATTTATTGAAATGTCTTGTGTCCTCTGTATTTTGTGTCACTATTATAAGAGACCTGGCAACAACTTTGTACCTTGTTTTTTGATAATTTATATTAAATTGTGTTTAAAACTATCCAAAACACAGAAAAAGATCAAAGTCTTGAGAAAATGGTGGATGGCAACCGTTTCTAAGGTAGAATTGGTCAGTAAGTGCAGTAGTGCACCTGCTTGTGCATTATAGCACTGAATCATAATTTAAAAGACATAAAAATCCTTTCATAAAAATTATCAGTGGTGTTATGCACAATTTGTCAGTGCATGTTTTTATAAAAGAAAAATGCTTTCATTACCTTTCATAAAAAAATAACCTTTTTCTCCACTTACAGAATAATGTTGTTTTTCAACTGAAAAAAATACTGAATAATATAACCATAGCCCAAATTTCACAACACAGTTAAATAAAAATGGTATTATTCTGAAATATGATTACAATTTATAATAATTTTTCTATGTTAATATATCTTTGAATAATCATTTTTAACATTATAAATGCCTTTACTGTCACTTTTGATCAAGTTAATGCATTCTAGTTGAATAAAAGGGTTTACTCCTTTAAAAAAAAAATCTCTTGAACAGTAGTGTAAATTCTCACTGAATATTCTGTTTCAATCAAAAACGTCACGTTACACATGTTGCTAATACCATTTAGTTTGTATTTAATAAAAGTTACCTTCAAATTAAAAGCCCTTTTCTTTCTCTTTCTTAAAGGAGTCATGGGTAATAATGGTCCCCGTGTAGGTATGCAGCAGGACAGTTGGGGTGCACAGGGTCCTGGTCCCGTCGGTAATGCGGCCTCACCCGTCACAACTGCTCCCACCGGCCAGCACTCTCTCACACAGGGGGCGCTCCACTCTCGCATGGTGCCCAACTCTGGCGCAGGCATGCCCATGAGGCCCAGCAGCCAGCCTGGACCAAGACAGATGCTTCAGTCCCAGATGATGCCAAATGGTAAATGGACACAGAGCAGATATATAGAGCTTTACAGAAAGTGTAGAAAAGCAAAGACTTGTGGATAACTTATTCAGACTTATTTACAAATAAAAATGGTGTTTTTAATCATCTTTTATCATCTGCTGTTTCTTCCTTAGCCCGGTCAAACATGGACATGGGCATGGCTGGCCACCAGTTTCCCCAGCAACAGGCACCGCCTAATCAGACGGCTCCATGGCCAGACAGTGTGATGCCTATAGAGCCGGTCCCATTTGGGAACCAGAACAGGTAAACGGTATTTATTACTGTTACTGTTGTTAGGCCCGCCACTTTATTGGAGGTGTGTGCTGTGTGCACATGTTGATTTTTGTCCTTCTGTAAGAAAATAACTGGACAAATACACTCAGATGTAATCTGTTATGGGATATCCCATCATTCATGTCTCAGCTCTTTAATGAGAGTCTCTCGTCTCTGTAAGCTCTATGTATAGCAGTTCTCGGGAGGATGTTTTGTGCCCTCCTGCCTCTGAGGGTCCGGCCGATGAGGGCGCTCTGCTCAGCCAGCTCTACACGGTTCTCAAAGATTTTGACGGCCTAGAGGAGATTGACCGTGCTCTAGGCATCCCGGCTTTGGTGGGACAGGTGGGTTGAATACTTTTGTTCTACAACCCAGTCTCTTTTGTGATGCACCAAATTTTTATTTTTTTTTACCAAACACCACAACCGAAATAACTTTATTTAAAAATCTATTAATTAATCAAATTTACTTAATACCAAAATTTGTTTTAATTAATCAGCTAATTAATCAAACTTACTCAATCAGCACTCAAATCAAACATTTTACTTGCACCAAAGGCACTTTTTAGTGATATAATTATGTTTCTACTCCAATTTGTTGTTAAAAATATAAACATTTAAACGGTGACTGTAATAAAAACTTGTTTAAACTTGCATTAAATAATGAAAACCATAGATTTTTTTTTATAGTATCAAAATACTAGTGATGCAACAAACTTGATTTTTTTTTTTTTTTTTTTTTTTTTTTTTTTTTTGCGCCGAAACACAGAAACCGGGTTTCATTTAGCTGAAAACCAAAATGGAAGGGTTTATTTTATTAATCTGTTAATTAATCAAATGTACATTTTCATTGCATATAAGGCAGTTTTTATATGAACTTTTTAATATACTTCTGTCAGGACCACTATCGTCAAAATGATAGATACTTAGCATAAAGTTTGGTTTGGCAGTATGGTTCTTTTCTGGGCAAAAAACTCCCTGCCCATCCATGCAGCCTGTCATGAATGAGCAGGGAGAGCAGCAATAATAACCCCCCTATGGTTAACAGAACCGAACAAGGCAGATGTCATTAATGTACTTAATGATATTTAAGTGTAACACTTTATTCAAGATAAAGGAGTCTGATTAGCAAGGAATATCAGAAAGCCAAGTCCTGACTGTGGCGAAAGGAGGAGCTGGGGATGGAGGAGGGTAATTTGCTCCTGAGCAAGCTGAAAAGCGGCTGAATAATACTGAATAGAGCTTATATAGGAATGCCACAACAGGTGTCGTATTCCTATAGGTAGATGTGATCAGCTGAGAATCAGCTGATGCAAGCTTGACTCACGTGACCTGCCAGAACTAACGCTAACACTTAATTTATGTTTCTACTCCAATTTGTTGTTGAAATATAAACATTTAAATGGAAGCTATAATAAAAACTTGCTTTCATTACAGATTTTGTGTAAACTTAAATACTGGACAAATAATGGAGAATAATGGTGAAAAAAGTTAAGTAAAAATATAATGAATATGTAATATAGTGCATATTAGCACTATTTGCACAAAATGCTCCTCTCTAGAGTTATACAAACTAACAAACTATAGACATTGAATGGGTTTCCTGAGGTAGATGTAACTTTATTTACAAGATGTTTTATTGCCATCTTTCTGTGGTTGAAACAATGATTGAGTGGTAATTTGAGACCAGATTATTTTTCGGTTGCTGAAATTTCAGTGCATTAATACAAAATCCAGGTCCAGAACTATCTGATTTATTATGTGCATCAGCTATTAACATCACACACATGTAAACATATGGCATTACTGAGATTACATTTAATGGTGTATACTCACCCTTGTGTTCAGACTCAGCCGGTGGAGCAGGATCAGTTCCCAGGTCAGGACCCCAGTATGATGATGGATCAGAAGCCGCCCATGTACAGCCAGCAGCAGTACGCCGCCTCCCAAGCCCACATGCAGCAGGGTGGGTACACGTCCATGCAGGACCCCAGCTTCCACGGCATGGCAGGACAGATGGGGCAGAGGCCGGGCTACCCCATGCTCCGCATGCAGGCTAGACCAGGACTCAGGCCCACCGGGGCCGTCCCCACCCAACCCAATGCACTCAGACTGCAGCTTCAACACAGGCTACAAGCACAGCAGGTACGGTTTACACTCTCATACATGAGAAGAAAGAACAGTCTTGATTAAAGTAGAATAAAAGTGGTTATATTTGTATTTTTATTCATAATATTGTCTGATTATGCCATCAATATTAAGCACAGTGATCATTTAGTTAAAAGGATAGTCCCAAAAAAATAAAAATTCATTCATCATTTACTCACCCTCATGTTATGTCACATATCATGTCACTCATTCCTTTGAACACAAAAGAAGATATTTGGAAGAATGTTGGTAACCAAACAGTTTTGGTGACTATTAACTTCTGTTGTATTGACAAAAAAACCTTAACAAAACCTTTTAAAATGTATATAGACAATACAATGGGAAGTGTTCCCTGTGACACTTAATTGGTGGCATGTAGCTTTGTTAGTCCAAAGACTTAAATGCATAATCTTTTTTTTTTTCTGTCCATATACACCCATTTTAAAGCGAAAGGCCCAATTGAATGTAAATCAGACTGGTGAAGTAGGGTTAGCTGCCCCCTGCTGGACATTTCAGGAATTGACCCTTGACCTCATTTTGGGTTTATTTAGGGGTCATATCTCTTAACTGTTTAGTTTCTGGCAATTTATTTAAAGCTACAATCAGTGATTTTTTATATATATATATATATATATATAACGCCATGCATGGCTCTCAGATGAGTCTAGCTAACCAGGGGATGCTGGGCAGTCTGAGCGGACAGTTTGGGGCTGTTATGAGCCCTCAAATGCAGCACAGTGCCTTTCAGTTCCCCAGCTCAGGTACTGCCTGCCCTTTCTCTCTGTCTGTGTGTCATGTGCTTCCACACACACACACAAACACCTGCGACCAGCAACACTACAGGCTTGAACGTGTGTGATCTGAATGTGCAGTGAAAAATCAAAGACGTCCAGGGCCAATCAACAAGGTTTAATTAGAAATGCAGTAGTCCAGACAGGCACAGGTCAGCTGTGTAAAAATGCTAATCCAGCAACTATAGTCAAATCCAATTAAAAAAATATATATTCTAAAAGAATCAAATTATTGTTTATCCAACAATTATAATTTTGACATAATTTGCTAACCCCCATGTTGTTCCTAATCTTTTAACTTTTTTCTTTTGTGAATTTTTTTTGTTTTTTTTTCCAGCCAGGTTTTTGTAAAACATAATAAAAATGAATGAAGACTGGATTCCAGAATGATAAAAAAAGCACCATAAATGTGTTCTAAAAATAAAAATAGCCAGGGTATTCTTAAAAATTCACCTTTCCACCTGTTCAATGGAAGGAGGAAAGACGTGTTGTTATTGTTAACTAAAACTATTAAAAATTGTTTTCAGTTTTTAAAATAAAGCTGAAATAAAATATAAATATTAGATGGAAAAACTTGAACCTAAAAAACTTAAAGGGATAGTTCACCCAAAAATGAATAATTAATTACCCACCCTGAAGTCGTTCCAAACCCATAAGACCTTCGTTCATCTTCGGAACACAAATTAAGATATTTTTGATTAAATCTGAGTGCTTTCTGACCCTGCATAGACAGCAACGCAACTGAAATGTTTTATGGCCCAGTAAGGTAGTAAGGACATCGTTAAAATAGTCTGTGTGACATCAGCGGTTCAACCATAATGTTATGAAGCTACAAGAGTACTTTTTGTGTGCAAAGAAAAGAAAAATAAGGACTTTATTCAACAATTTCTTCTCTTTCCTGTCAGTCAACGTGCGTTCACAAGAGTACCACGACGAATGCGTGTGATGGTGCTGCTGATGCAGGAGCCAGTGTTCTGTCGATTTGTGCTACTCTGTCAGATTTTGCTACCTCCCATTAAAACAGTGGGTAGTACAATTCGACAACGAAAAATGCTACCTGTAAAATTATGGCTTATTAACGTCTACACCTACCCCAACCCTAAACCTACCCTTACAGTAATGCAAATACAGTAATTATGTGTTATATTTGCAGTTGTGGCTAGAAGGGATACAGCTACAGGAAACCAACAATAAATAATTTTTTCAACTTATTAGATTGTGTTTTATTAAAGTCTACACCTACCCCAACCCTAAACCTACCCTTACAGTAATGCAGATACATTAAACGGGGTTCCCACGCTTCTTGAAAGTACTTGAATTTCAGACGTATGGATTCAAGGCCTGGAAAGTACTTGAAAACAAACATAGGTCCTTGAAAGTGCTTGAATTAAATTTGAAATACATTTTGCTTATGCAGGGATTAAAGCTTTCCGCCGCTACGACGGATTTCCGTTTTTCTTAAGCCCGCTCCCGCTGAATTTCTGACCATTACCGCCCACTCCCGCAACGTGTGTCCCACTCCCGCAAACATTCTAATATTGATTTCGTGATTATGCACACTCCATGTAGAGGGAGCACATCTTACAGTGTGTGCATAATTATTAGGCACGTTGATATTCTGATCATATTTTTTCCAAGCACATTTGACCAATTCCAAACCACATCAATCTTAATAACTACTATTATTTTAGTATTTAATCATTTAGAAGTGATATATAATTGTACTTTATGTATCATATAATGTAATATTATATATTACATTATAAAATTTTTACAATTGTAAAACACAACCTACAGATTCAAAACATTATTACTCTGAAATTTTTAATGTAGATGTTAAGGGTAAGTGAAATGTTAAGTACTGTAAGGTCTTTCATGACACTACATATTCTGGCATGTGAATTTGATAGGTGCTTGATATAAAATAAATGGTGCTTTAAAAAGTCCTTGAAAGTCCTTGAATCTGGTGTTCATGAACGAGTGGGAACCCTGATTAAATATTGTTGTTCAGCGTGAGAAAAAGGACGCAATATTGATGTGCGCATGCGCAGTAAACCCTGGTAGGACAATCTGACGGGTAGGATAAAATGTCAGGACACCGGCGTTCTGACGCAAAACCAGGATTCGCTGCACCTTGTTTGAAAGCAGAGGAATGCATACGCATGCGTCGTGGTACTCTCGTGAATGCAACACGGAAGAGAAGAAATTGTTGAATAAAGTCGTAATTTTTGTTTTCTTTGCACACAAAAAGTATTCTCGTAGCTTCAAAACATTACGGTTGAACCACTGATGTCACATGAACTAAAACATTTCAGTTGTATTGCTGTCTATGCAGTGTCAGAAAGCTCTCGGATTTCATCAAAAATATCTTAATTTGTGTTCCAAAGATGAACGAAGGTCTTACGGGTTTGAAACGACATGAGGGTGAGTAAGTAATGACAATATTTTCATTTTTGTGTGAACTATCCCTTTAAATAAAATTTCAAAATATTGCCTTGGCAAATAACTGAAATAAGTTGAAGTTCTAAATGACTGAAACTGATATAAAAATAGAGCTAAATAGAACATTTCAAAAACTAATAAAAAATAAAAGCATGTAACAAAATTACTAAATAAAATATAAAAATAAAATATAATTTTAAAATCTTAATAAATATTATAATAGTATACAATAACACATGAAGAGAGTTCATAATGAGATTTATATTTTCTGGATTATATTACCATGTACTGTATTATGAGATTAGATGCTGCCATAAAACTAAAGACCAAAATTCATTAGTATCTAGTAATGTTTCATAATCTCAACTTTAAAAACTGTTTCAGTGAGTATTTGGGTTTTTAAATATCTGTTTATAGCTGTCTAGTCAAGTACTGTGAGCTAGGTTGGGTTATTTAGCACTTTATGCTAGTTAATCAGTATTAAATAATTGTCCTTATGTAGTGCCCTTGAAAGATCATAATGTTATGGTAGAATGTGGCACTAGAGAGCAGAAGAGTCACTTTAATGTTTTTTTCCACATGTAATAAGAATATATTACAAGAATACTTCAGGTTATTTCCAACTTAATGTCTATAAGCAGCATGCTGTCCATTACCACAGAAAATTATTATGATTCACAGCTCAGTTTCTAAAATCAAATAGTGTAATCATTTGCATATTTTAGACTTTGCCACCCACTCAGCGACCCTGTTAGGCTTCCATTGAAATGAAATACTAATTGCATTTTGCGTTCTTTTTTACAAACTCAAGAACGAGTTGAAATCATTCTGTGGTAATCAGCTAAATTCAACAGATCAGAGACATTATTGAATTTCAGATTGAATTTTCAGATTCAGAATTGACATAATCCAGAACATCCATCTTTGTACTTTGCCACAGTAAATCTATATGTAACACATGAGCTACTGATGCAATCAGATGATCAGTTTATCATTTAAGCCAAGCTTAAGTTGTGTTAAACTGTTGATAATTGTGCCTGTGTCTATGCCTGTGCTGTGTCAAAATGTGTAACTCTGCCTTACTGCCTGCTTATAACACCTCTAAACCCCTCTAGTATACTCTTGATTCCTCACTTTTGATTATGAAGATGGGCTGAAATATTCTCAATATGATTTCTGCTTTGACATTTCTAAAAATGATGATCAGCTAATCTAAACAACAAATGTGTTTAGATTTTGATTTTGTCATTTTCAGTAATTGTTCTTCTCGTAGTTGCAGTTATCATTAATTTCTAGGTGCTAAATGTGGATGTTGTCTGACAGCGTGAGAGTGAATATGATGTGCAAAGTGCTGTACAGTAATAATTACCTAATTTGTGTTAAATAGTTCTTTGATGTATGTTTATTGTGAACCAGAGTTTGTCTCTTCATGTCTGCGTGTGTATGTGTGTCAGGTATGAGTCAGCAGTCGGACGGGGGGTTCGGTGGTGCCACCACCCCTCAGAGCCCCCTCATGTCTCCCAGGATGAGCCACGCCCAGAGTCCCATGATGCAACAGGCGCAGGGCAACACCTCTTTTCAGTCCTCCCCTGACATGAACGGCTGGACACAGGGCAGCATGAATGCCAACAGGTGCAGCTTTATGCCTCGTGTAGTGTGTGTGT